CATACACCTCTAGGTTAACATTCTTTTTTCTAGCATAGTGCAACTGGGTGTCACTCTGTTAAAGTGACTAAAGACCTGAGGATTTAGGAACGAGATTTGGGGGCTAGATAATCTGAGGTTATCCCAGATGGATCATCTTTTTAACTTGTTTCATGCAGAGATAACTCGAATTGCTTGCTATGTCCTTGACCGAAAAGGGTTAACTGCCTTTCCACTGCCATAAACTGGCAAAGCCCTTTACAAAAAAAACGATGTTCGGTCTGTGAAGTGTGTTTTCCCCTCACTTAGTCAAACACTTAGAGGTAAACGCCTTTCCCCGATCTCCCAGAGAACAATGACTCTCCATTCATATTTGTAGGCCCGGGACGTGACCCGTTTTCACACACAGTTTCCCTGGAAGGGACGTTAACAGTGAAGTCCTTCTACCTCCCCTTGCCAGTTCATCTGGCCACTTCTCCTGAGAAAAAGTACCTCAGAGCAAAGCCATCCCTTCCCAAAGGCAGCGTTACACAATCAAGGATGTTCTGTATTACCCAGCCCGTTGCTTTTCTAGTCCACTTCTACTCATTCAGAATTTATGAACGCTTTCAACATCAAGATGACCTTTCTTCAGATTGCTAGATAACCCACAGCCTTTTTTACCAGCCGTGTGAGCATGGCTGAGTGAAGGAGCGTTGAATGGACTTGGCGAGACAGAGATTCCAGTCCCATTGTCACCACTCTCAGGCTGTCCCTTCTCCTTTCTGTGAGGGGAGATTCAGAATCCCTCCTCCTCCTCTCTGAGTTCTGGGTCAGTGTTTCTCCTTTTCTTTCTGTATGATTCTGATGCCAAAGTGGTTGGTGACCTGGCTTTGTTTCCAACAAGACACCCATTAGTGGGCAATGCAGCACCTCCTCACGGTGCACCGTGGTCCCAGGTTCCACATCATCTGTGACAAGCACCCCCTAGGCAGGGTGAGAGGTCATCTCTTGTGAGCTCAGGTGGTCCCTTAGATAGAACGCGGGCAACTGAGACTTTGTGAGGCCAATTAGATCACAATACAAGAGGATTAGCCCAATTATAGTCTACTCATTTGTCTGTAATTAATGTCCTGTGCCTTTCTTCATTTGCTGAAGTAAAATTTGGTAAAAGTCTCCAGTCCTTTTTGTTTTGATGGTTAAGTGTTAAGCATGTCAGGACCAAACACATTAGGTGCCATGTGTTACTGAGACAATCATTCTCCAGTCATCAGCGGGAAACACAAAAGAAAACTCCACTTCTTTGGAGTTTTCCAACGAAGAATGTATAATAACTTGGCTTGGGCTGAGCTGAGGATGTGAGCAAAGCATTTTAAACTTAAGAGAATGCATGGACCTTAATACTTGAATTATTTTTATAGAAATGGGTGTTGCTCATACACAGTTTTTACTTATCCTTTGAGTCAATACTGGCAGACCTACTAGGAAATACCTTGTTGACAGTTATTACGTGCAATCGAAAGTAATAAAAACTACATTCTATAATAACAGTAACTGTTCTATTATAGTTCTAGTAACTGTTGAAGCTAGAATTTGATAACAGGCAGGCTGACTCCAGAGCCTTGACTCCTTAACCGCTGTACTGCCCTGCCTTATAGGAACTAATGAGTAGTTTAAATAGATTGAGCTTTCGAGTCTAACGTAGTGAGGTTTCATGGTTTATTCTCACGTCTCAGGGTGTTTCAGTCACTAAGAAAACAAGTAATGGTGGTAAGAAAAAAGTTACAGAATAAAGTTTCTCCAATTTTTTCCATACACTTTTTAAAGTTTTGGTATCTATGAAGACTTATCTACAGGTCAGAGCTAGGAGATCGCAAGAAATGTACCAAGCACTATACTGAGTATTGAAGATAGAGCAACAAACAAAATTTTTGCTGTATATGGAGAGACAGACAGTGAACAACTAAATAATCCATCTCGTGTCAGGTGGAGAGAAAGACAGGAAAAAGCAGATTCAGGTGACAGAGAGTTTTGAAGTAGTGCGTGCTTTTTTACGTGCTGGGCTTGAGGAAGCCCTCCCCGGTTAGAAGACATCTGAGCAGAGACCTAAAGGAAGTAAGGGAATGTACTGTGCGCTGACCAGGGGAAGAAAGTTCCAGGGAGCAGGAAGAGCAAGTGCAAAGATCCTGAAGCAAGAACATGCTTGAAGGGACAGGAAACAGCAAGGACCTAATGTGGTTGGAAGAAGGTGGAGGAGGAAGTCGGAGAGATTTTGGGTCTCTGGGTTACCTAGGGATTTGTAGGCAATTGTTAGGAGTTTGGCTCTTTTTTTGAGTGAGACGGAAAGCCATTTGAGCGCATTAAAGAGTTGTGATATGATCTACCTTACATTTTAAAGGGATCGCCTTTGCTGTCGTGTAGAGAATCCACAGAAGTGGGGCTAAGATGAAAACAGAGCGGATAATTAGGAGGCTATTAAAATCGACCATCTGAGAGCAGACTGTGGCTTAGGCCGGGGTGAAAGCTTCGGAGATGCTGAGGAGTGAGTGTATCTGGGATATATTCGGACACTAGAGAGAATAGGATAGTTGGTTGATTGGATGTGATGTGTGAGAAACAGAGAGGAGTCAGGGATGAGTCAAAACTTTTGGTCAGAGCAACTGGCAGGACGAGGTCAGCACTTACTAGGACGAGGAAGAAGAACGAATGAATGGCCAGTTGTGCCTGGGTGGGGGTGTCACCAAAAACAGTCTTTCTAGGAAGAAATAACATTTGAACAGAATTGGGAATCGGTATTATACAGTTAGGGAGGGTCGTCCAGGGAGTTTGAACAAGGATGGTTCTTATTTCCATCAGAATGGGCACTATGAGCCACGGCAGATAAGAAAGTAAGGACGTTGTGAAAACTACAAGCGGTCTGTTAGGACGGGAGCAGAAGGTGTAAGACGGGGAGCCAGCAGGGCCCCAATTGTATGAGACTTTCCTGTGTGCAAGGCATCCGCGTGTCCACCACCGTACGCCCATCATCGTACACCCTAATGGGAGTGCCCAGAGACACGTAAAGGGCTGGGCTAGTGAAAAGTGGGTGAAGCTGAGCATATGTAGCCTTGAGAAAGAGTGTGCTGGGTACTGACATGGTGGGAAAACAGGGCAGTCACGGCTTCTCTTCGATTTAGCTTCTTCAAAGAGGATGAAAACAAGCAACAAAAATAACAACAAAACTTGGTTAATCCTACCAGTAATCATGTACACTATTTTAGGAACCCCACATAAAGGGAAGTGAAACCCCAGTCTCTGACACACTTAAAGAGGAAGACAGAAAGTCCTGCTCTCCTTCTTGCGTTAGATTTTCATCTAGATGATCTAGAAAACACGTGTGTGTCTCTGGATCCTTTACTTGTAGACACATCACCACATCCTCTCTGCTTCCTGCTCTGGATACTCATTCCACCATGAACAAATGCCCGGGACCAGTGAGTCCATTTGTCGCGTAAAGGGCATGGGGACACACACTGTTTGAACCCAGGCTCAGTCAGGATTTTGAGTTTCTAGGCAAGTCACTTACCATCTTTGCTTCAATACCCATTAAATAAAACAGGATAAAAATAACTGCTTTACTGGGGCTGCCCAGAGGCATAGAGGTTAAATTCCTGCGCCCCGCTTCCGAGGCCTGGCTTTGCAGGTTTGGATCCCGGGCGTGGATCTAGCACAGCCTGTCAAGCCACACTGTGGCAGCACCCCACATAGAATAGAGGAAGATGGGCACAGATGTTAGCTCAGCGACAATCTTCCTCAAGCAAAAAGATGAAGATTGGCAACAGATGTTAGCTCAGGGCCAATCTTCCTCAGAAAAAAACAAAACCAAACCACAACTGCTTTACTTAACCTCATAGGAGGAATGGGGTATATGAGAGCATTTTATAAAATGCTTCACAAAAGCTAAGGCACTTTAAACATGCAAATTATATATTGCATAAGATAAAGTTTGTGAACTATTTTTTCTTAACTCTAACCTTCCCAAGCAGCTTATAAACTCCTAACGGGCAGGACTCAATTTTTCACCCCAGCGGTTCCCACGTGAGTTGGTCATTAGCCCCATCTGGGAAGTCTTTTAAAGATACACATTCACAGACTCATGCAGATATCCTGACTCAGAATCTCCAGGGTTGGGTTCAGGAACAGGAGCTCCCGTGTGACTCAGATGACAGTCAGATTGGGGAACTATTGTCACGCGACACTGGATACTGTTCACCCCCAGTAATGCCCGTAACAGGACATGGTAGGAACTTATATCTGAAACTGAGAATGATTAAAATATAAGTGTCTCTGCAAGAGGTAAGATCTTGAAAAAGTCACACTCATTTATAAGTGACAATGTGATATTTCAGTCAGAATAGGTCTTAATAGGGAAATGATCCCTAGAAACTCATCTTGAGGCTAAAAATTAATATCTGGTCTTGAATCCTGACTTTCTACAGGAAGGGAAAGTACAGAAGAAGGAAAGAAAGGAAACTGTTAAGATGTAGCCAAGGATTGAACCTGCTGCCGTTGTGTCCATCCTGTTCCTCCTTTATCTCTTTTTCTCTCTGGATACACAACACACACTCACACAGACAGGCCTGGATTAGTAACACCTTTCTAGATTTCTACATACATTGGCTCGTCGAATTCAAACTATTAATCATCTGAGTTCCTGCTATGCTCAAAGCCTCATTTTATGTAGAAAAGCAATTGCCTGGGATCTTGCTTACAGGAGGGAAATAAGATGAGTACACCTGTCACTGTAACACAGACGAACGATGGGAATACCCACTAGCTAAAGGGCCCCGAGACCTCTCTCCTCTGTGTGCTTCCCTTGTGACCAGTCTCCTGTGTGGTCAGAATCAGAAGCCAGGGGGATAAAATTAATTAGTTAATTTAAGCATCAAGGTTAGAGTGGATTAAAATTAGAGAATGGCTATCAAACTGAGATACAAATAGCTTAAACGAAATTGTTCAGGGTCAGTTATGAATGACAAGCATTCTTCAAGGGGTTCCTTTACCTGAAGAGGTCCTGGAATACATCACTGGATTAGTCAAGGAGACTTGAAGACGCATGTCTCTGCTGCAAGCACATGCTGTGAGCTGAGAAGGAAAGGGAGTCAGAGGAGGGACCAAGGAAGGCCCTCACGGAGGAAGTGATACTTGAAGTGGACTCTGACGGATGGGAAAAATGTTTAATAGACACGGGAGGAGGGCAGGCCCAGTGGCAGCCTGAACTCTATCTGGGAGAAAACCTCCCCTGCCAGTGTGTAGCAGTGTACAGCTAGGGTATAGCAGCTCGGTACTTATTCTAGATACTCCAGTGTGTCCCAACCCACTGGGAGTTGCCCTTCTCAAAGAATAAAATGGAGCTTCCTCAACTCTGCCTGCTGCAGCTGCACTCTGAGCACCAGGCGTGCCCCAGCTGATGCTGTGGCCCTGAGCAGGCAGCAGCCCTGCCTGGGGAGGAGGTGGCGGGGAAAACAAGACGATCACTCTCTTTGTCTAGTTTGTAATCACTGAAGGATAATTCCCAGATCCCCAACTTCAGATGGCACATGGCTAATGAGGAGGCATCTTCTTTCAAGAAGAGTTTGGCATATGGCCACTACCCGTTCCTACCTGCTCTGAGAAGAGGGATGAGAAAAAAGGAGGAAAGATCAGGAAGAGGAGAAGGAGAAGAAAAGAAACAAAACCACAAATGCTTTCAGAAAATTTAAATAGATGAATTTTTGGAGCAAAAATGGTGACTAGAAGAGGCTGGTCCAGAAGACGCCGGCATGTGAGGTAGAGCGGTGTGGTAATAAGAATAGCTATCGATTCCTTGAGTGTTTACCGTGGGCACTGGGTTCACTGTCTCTTCAAATCCTCGCCACAACCCTACAGCCTCCTCTCCAGTTTATAGATGAGGCCACTGCGGCTTGCAAAGGTAAATAGCTTGCACAGATTCCTAAAGCTTTTTAGTGGCTGAGCCAGACTGAATCCAGGTTCCTGATTCCAGAAGCCCACGTCCCTAACCCCACATTATAATAGGATCAAGCACTTAGGATCAGCGATGGGATGCTCCTTTCTTACAGTTCTTTCATTTCACCTAACAAAGAAAGGTTTCTCAGTCTTCCTCATCTTCAGTGACTCCAAATTGATACCTACCACATTAGCACCTCCTTCTCAGGAAGAAAAGTGTTAATGTTACCACATCTCCTTCCTTGTTAACAACAACTTGAAAACAATATTTGTGATTCCAGAGGGACCCAACCCCAGGTCCCATCTCCATATCGTTACTGTCAATTCTCATTTTTTTGACCTCCATTTATAAAGAAACATCGACCTACTTTGCATCGCTACACTTTCACTCCAGCTCCAGTGCCCACATGTTCCTAGGAAGAAAAGTCTGGAAATTAAATAAGTTGTACCTTTCTCCTGGTGTCATGATAAAACTGCCACTGTCAGGGGAAGCCTGGGTCTGCTGGGAGCATGAGTAACTGATAACAAAAGCAAACTCTGTCTCTAGTTGTCTTTCCAAGACACCGGAAGACAGGTGGTTTCTGTTTAAGCCTTAAACACACAACACATATTTTATTGACTTTGAAGTTTGTCAGAATCTAACCATGGATAGAAAATAAAGCCCTCGATATGATTTTACCACAAAGTACATATGCACTGGGCGTGAACCATGCAGTTTACACAGTGTTAGAAATGAAAAGACATTAGAAATCAGACTGACCCACTCTTTCGTTTTCTCTTGGTGAAAGCTGAGGCCCAGAGGGCTGCTGGGACTCGCCTGAGGACCCACATTGAGGCACCTGCAGGATGTCAAAACACATGGCTATGACAGAAGAGACATTTACTAAATTTGTGCTATGTCTACTTGAGTTCAATTTTGAGATTTTTGACTATTTTTTAAATTTTTATTTTATTTTATTTTTTTGAGGAAGATCAGCCCTGAGCTAACATCCGCCACCAATCCTCCTCTTTTTGCTGAGGAAGACTGGCCCTGAGCTAACATCCGTGCCCATCTTCCTCTACTTTATATGTGGGACGTCTGCCACAGCATGGCTTGACAAGCAGTGCCACGTCCACACCCGGGATCCGAACCAGCGAACCCCGGGCCGCCGAAATGGAACGTGCGAACTTAACCACTGCACCACAGGGCCGGTCCCTTGACTGCGATTTTTAAATGGCTCATTTCTAAAACAACAACAAGTAGAGAAAATTTGGGGGTGCGTCTACAAGTAAATGTAAGGTCAACTTGAATTGAAGAATGAGAAAGTTAGCCAAATGAAACAGGATGTTTTAAATGCACCTTATGGACGTGAAGGGGTTCAGAACACGCCACAGGAAGGGGTCTCTGACCTCTCCCTTTCCACCTAAAAGCAGGTCATAGAATTTCCCATGAGAAGGGTGCCCTCCCTGGATCAGGAAGAGAAGAACATTCTTATCACCGGAGACTGGCAGTCAACGCCAAAATGGACCTGTAGACACCAACCTGCTAAAACAACCCCTGATCTTCCATTAGTTTCCCCCATACATTTCCCAGTCACTGTCCCACAATTCACTGCCCTTAGCCCCAAACTGCTTTGTCTTGTCACACCTCCACAATTTACTGCTTTTTGTATAAAAAGGCACATAAGCTTTTAGACCTAATGTCTTTTTGGGGTTTTTATTTTGCTTCTGAAGACAACTGTGAACATGTAAAGGTATTAAATAAATTCATCCACTTTACTCCTGTTGATCTGTTTTATGTCGGATTAACTCTTAGGCCGGCCACAGAACCTAAGAGGGTAGGAGGAAGATGTCCTCCTCCGCAGACTCTGGGCTGCTCTTTCATCATTCTCAGTCTTGTGGGAAATTCCCACGTGACCCAGCACAAGCTCTCCCAGCCTCTTCACAACACTCTCTCAATTCCCGGAAGAGACGTCACTCTCATCCCCATGAACCACATACAGACACAAGCCTTCAAAGCAGAAGGTCAAAATTACTCATCGTGTGATGATCAGGACTCCAGAGATGACGTCCCTCCAAGTGTTCTGTGAGCAGCAACTCTATAAACTTTTCTCCCAAAAGATGTCTTCTTTAAAAGCTCTATGGCTCTGAAAACCCACATTTTTGACAAAGTATAGCATTAAGTCTATTTTAGAATGAAAAGACATTTAAAAATAATCAACTGGCACCATGGCTTCATAAAAGAAAATATTATTTTAATTTTTAATATTATTAACATAATCTCCAAATGAATTTCTTGAGCAAGGGCAGTTGGAAACCTTAAATCAAACACACACACACACAAACACACATGCAGGCATGCAAGCACACATTCACACAAACACACATGCAGACACATGCACACACACACAGACTACGTTGTCTGAACTTTGGTTGCTTCACTATGGTCTAGCATCAGTCTACAGACTCACACTTGAAAAACATAGCTGTAGGCAACAGGAGCCACTGAATGTTCTACAAAGAGGAGTAACAAGAAAAGATCTGTTAAAGAAAGACATGGCTGATGACAAAGACATGGATTAAGGACAGGTCGATAACTCTCCATGTGCTGCATATATAGCAAATCATACTCTCTATCTCCTTAAAGGATTAAAACAATCTAATTTTTCTCAATGACATATACTATAAGTGCCTAATTAAAGACTGAGAATGTATATAGTACAGAATTATGTTAAGTGATGAATAAAACATGAGGAACAACTGGAGAAGAGTACAAATAAGTTGGGGAGGTGGGAGATGCGGCAGAGGATGGAGAGGACTGGGCAGGGTGGGAACACCCCAGCAGAGACTGGACAGCCGTTGGCTAAACTAACTTCTTCCTCTTGCTGGACACACAACTAAGTTACATGTCCAAGAGTCCTTTGCAATTAGGTGTGCTATGCGACACAATGGAACTCGAGCAGAAGTGATACTGGGTACTCCCAAGCTGAGAAGCAGAGAAACGGACATGCCTCTTTCTGCTCTCTTTCCTCATCTGCCAGCTGAATGCAGAGGACTCTGAGGCCCTAGAGATGGCAGTGATATAAGATGGAAAGAACCTGGGTCTCTGAATGAATGTGTGGGAGGTTCCTTGCCTACCAGGAATACCTGTACATGAATGAGAAAACAAGCAAATTTGTTAGTGTGAGGCCACTGTAATGTCTGAGTTTGTTACATCAGCCAGCATTACCCTAAAAGTTATGCATACCATTCTCATGCCTAAGTTTTAAGGAAAAATATAGCTTCATTGAGATATAATTTATGGACAATAAGTTTACAATTTAATGGTTTTTAGGATGTTCACAGAGTTGTGCAGCCATCACTGCTATCTAACTCCAGAACATCTTAATCACTCCACAAAGAAACCCTATAGCCATTAGCAGTCTCTCCCATTTCCCCCAACCTCCCCAGCCCTAGACAACCACTAATATTCCTTCTGTCTCTACAGATTTGCTTATTCCGGACATTTCCTATAAATGGGATAATACAATAACTGGTCTTTTGTGACGAGCTCCTTTCACTTAGCACACAGTTTGCAAGGTTCACCCATGCTGTAGCATGTGTCAATACTTCATTCCTTTTTATTACCGAATAACATTCCATTGTATGGATGCACCATATTGTGCTGTCCATTCATTAGTTGATGACCTATGGCCAAACTTTTCTTATCTTTCCTGTAGGGTCTTTAAAATGTCCTATCACCAAACTGAAGAGGAAATTCATTTCTCCAGAGGATGCACACACACATCAAGTTCTTGTGGGTTACAACTATCAACATCTTACCAAAAAATGGTTTATTTGACTTAAAATCACTCAGAAAACTTGAAACTCCAATTAGAGTGATAACATACAAAGTCCCCAAGAGTGACAAAAACAAGAGGAAAGCACATGTTTTCACACATTTTAATTCAAGAATTGTAAGGAAAAAACAATGCATTGCAGCCAAACAGTTGGGCAGCAGCCTCTGTGATGATATGCTCTTGGGGAGGAACCCAAGGACTAAACCTAATGTCAACACAAAGCAATTAAGCAGACATTAGGTATTGCTGGGTCAGGAAAAAAAGTTCATTAAAGGAATCAGCTCTCAGTGTTTTTCTAAAGATAAATCCCAGCTAGTCTAAAAATCATTAAATCTTAATGACAGAGTCAATTTGTTGGTGGCGTTTACAAATGAAATACTAACATATTTCTGTAGTCTGGAAATTTATAATTGTGATTGCCTTTCCATGTTAGAGAAGTTAAATTTCTGAGAAGATTTACAGGACACGAGTGAAACACCGCAGGACAGAAAAATGCTGCTTCTGTATTCCCTCTCTTTAGGTCATCAGCAGGACATTCACAAAGAAAGGATTGATTCTGCATGGATTACATTCATTTGATAGACACTTATCAAGCACGCCTTGTTTCCTGGGGACTCTGGTGGTGCTGGGAATACAGAGATATACAGACATTGGATTGGGAATTACAACAGAATGTAGTAAGACCTGTAAAAGACTCATAGACAGAGGGGAACTTGAAAAGAATGACTAATTCTGACTGAGCTCCTGTCACCATGGAAAAGATATTGTGTTGGGACTTTAGAGATGAGTACATTTGCTGTGTGAGAAGGAGAGCAAGGAAATTCTGGATAGTGGAAATGGGCTGCACACAGATTTGGAGGCATGAAAGGGCATGGCAGGTTTAGGAAAAAGGGAGTTATGTAAGGCAGAATTATAAGGAATGCAGAAGCAGGCTGAACACTAGTTTGGGTTCAATCTATACAGGCGCTTGTATGGCAAGCTCATGAGTTTAGATTTTGTGCTTTAACTGGCAGAGAATTTGCAGATTGCTGCTTTTTTTTTTTTTTTAAAGATTTTATTATTTCCTTTTTCTCCCCAAAGCCCCCCGGTACATAGTTGTATATTCTTCGTTGTGGGTTCTTCTAGTTGTGGCATGTGGGACGCTGCCTCAGCATGGTCTGATGAGCAGTGCCATGTCCGCGCCCAGGATTCGAACCAACGAAACACTGGGCTGCCTGCAGCAGAGCGCGCGAACTTAACCACTCGGCCATGGGGCCAGCCCCGCAGATTGCTGCTTTTTAAAAGAAGGAGTGAGATAGTTGGGCTATTTAAAAATTTTACCATGAAAACATATACACACACAAAAGAATAATATAAAAATTACCATATACACATCCACCACTCAAAAATTAAGATTTTTCCATTTTTGCTTTATTTTATTTAAGTGAAAGATTTTAAAGCAAACTTGGTTTCTTTTTGCCCCTACATCTCTACATATATATATGTTCTTATCTAACCACAATCCATTTTCACATCTAACTAAATTAGTAATATTTTACTGGCATCATTTAAGCATTTGTGGACTTCAAAAACATATTTTTTTATAGTAGGTTTGCTCAAATGAGAACCCCAATTAATTTCCCATGTTACACTAAGTTGTAGTAATTCTTAAAAATCTTAGTTTGGAGCACTTTTCTTTGTGCAATTATCCTCATGCCATTGACTTACTGAAGAAACCTGGCACAATGTTTCGGAATTTGTCCCACATGTTGCATTTATCTGTTTGCTTTTTTGTTGGTGTAATTTACCCTTTTATTATATTTTTCCTGTTTCCTATAACTGGTAGTTTACTCTAAGAGGCCTAATTAGATTCAGCTTCAATTTTTTTTTAAGGCAAGAATAGTTCATAGCAGGTATTGATAACTTATATTGCATCCCATTGAGAGGCACTTAATATCTGGTTGCCCCGCTCACAGTGATGCTAAGATCGATGATCAGACTTGCTTCTAAGAAGATGACTTTTCTAGTTCTGTGTGGAAGATGGACTCTGGTGAAGCCACTGTGGTAGCAGGGAGATGAGACACTACAGTATTACAGAGGTGGTGATGCGGATGTGCCCTAAGGCAGGAATGGTAGATAAACAGAGAGAATGGTACATTCAAGAAATAATTCTG